TCCCTACCCCAGACAGGTGTGCAGAGACCCCAGGCAGTGATGGGGCCTAGGGCCCAAGTCTGCCTTTCCATGGAGTGAGTGTCCCTGAAGGAACTAAGAAAAGCTCTTACCTTCAGGATTACCTCTGGGGACAGAATGGACAGAGTTAGGGTCTGTGTCCTCCTCTGGCCGATGGGGCAGAACCGGTGGCTGCTTGGGTACTTCCTGGGTAGGTAGGGCCCGGGCTGCATCATGGGGAGGTGTGGTCAAGATGGTGTGAGTGCTGGGCTTCATTGGGTCTCCAGGAGAGCTTGATGTGGCCTGAGACTGGAGGACACTGGCTGTGCTTGAACCCAGCATGGGCCCAGCTCTAGGCTGCCCAGTGCTTTGGGGTGAGGCCTGGACCTCCGGGATGAGGTTCTCTTCGGGCCCTGCTCTGGCATCTGCCTTGGCATCTTCCCCCTCCTCTTGGACAGGGAGACTGGGCCGGGCTGGGCCTATAGTGGGAGGCCCACCAAGCCCCATGAGGCCAGCTGATGCCAGCTGCTCCCTGACAGCTATTTCCTCCCTCTCTTCTTCCTTTTCCTCCTGGCTGTCCTCTGTCACTCTCCTAGCTTTGGCCTGCACAGGGGCTGGCGGGCCCAAGGCAGCAGCCACTGTTGGCCTAGGGAGGGCAGCCAGCCAGGGAGTGGCCTGGATGGCAGACAGTGGCTGACTCCCGCCTCCCAGAGCAGCTGGGCCACTTGCGCCTGCCTGGAGCTCGCCTGCCAGGGCCACTGCCACTTCTGCTTCAGCCACCTCCTGGTCATAGCTGTAGGGGTCTTCATAGTGTCGCTCAGGGTCACCCTCCTCAGCATCTGAGAAGTTGCCAGTGGTGATAGTGGGCATGGCCTCGGCCTCTCCGTGGCAACCAGGGAGCTGGTAGCAGATGAGCTCACCACCGGTGTCAGGACAGTGGCAGGCTTGGCACGGCGGCAAGTGGACTGTGTGGCCAGCAGCATACTTCCGGCCAGTGTGGAGGCAGCCTACCTGGCCACACTGTGGGCAGCTGTCAGCTGCTACCACAGCCTCGATGCAGTTGGGTGGGAGCTCTGGGCACAGCATGAACTGGCAGCTGATCTTGCCGCCGCCTGGCGGGCAGGAACACTCGGTGCTGCCAAAGTCCACAAGGTAGGACTGGCCAGCAGGCACACGGCCGCGCACAAAGCCACCTTGCAGGCAGTCATAGTACTGGTAGCCCTCGCAGGCACAGCCTTGCTGCACGCACTTGGCGCAGCAGGAGCCAGGTTCTAGTGCCTCCTCTATGCAGTTCTCCAGTGGCAGGCACTCAACGCCTGTGCAGTCCTGCTGTGGGGCTGCTGTACCTGCAGTTGCTCCCAGCACCAGTGCCAGAGCCAGCCAAGCTCCTGCAGGCTCCCAGAACAGCACCATGGTCCCACAGCCAGCAAAGGGGCAACCACAAGCCAAAAGGTCCCCTCTTCTTCGAGGCCCTGGAGGAATCAGAAAGGATACCTGTCAGCACCACATGAAGCCTGCACATGTAGACATGTCCATTTCCCCCGACCCAGGCACACACACCAGCACACGCACATGGCTGGACACAACCTCAGCCACCTTCACTCACACGTGTGCACTCCTGTAATGTAGCACACACATGTACTCCTTCCCACGTCCCCATGCACCCAGTCCTTGTCATATGTGTTTGGATGCACACAGGCTCTGCCACACGCACGAAAGCATCACAGTCGCTCAAGCATCACAGGTGCTGTTGTCTACAGTGCAACATGGCCCTACTCAGAGCAGCTAACCCCCACCTTCAGCTGCCTTCTGACGCATGCCCTCTGAGTGGGCCTCTCCTGCCCATAGTCAGTCTGTCTGTCTGTCTGTCTCTCTCTCTCTCTCTTTCTCGCTCTCTCACTCACACACACACACACACACACACACAGACTCATGCCTACACCCTAGCTCAGTCATATTCATTCACTGGGACACAGAGTACCTGGGGGCACTCTGGGTCTCTCACACCCTCTATCATAGGCACCCTCAGTTGTTCACATGCCTGCCCCAACCCTCCACGCACAGTTACACACACCTTCTCACCTACAGCCTCACTCATGTGCCAGGACACCACAGGAGGTCTCATATACATAGTCCCACACATTTGCATGCATGCACACACACACACAACCAACCAATTCCTCTCCCCCTAAATCCTGTTTGATTCCCCAGCCATCCGCTCAGAGACCTGTGGCTGATGGCCAGAGGATAAGGTCACATGCGCAGGAACAGGCCTCCTTCTAGGTCTTGGCACAGTCAGCCAACTCTCCCACCACAGCCCTCAGCAGACCCCAGGACTCAGAAACAATCCCCACACACCCAAGAGAATTCTTTGGACTGCAAGACATAACTACTAACCTTGTCAGCTGCCCCAGCAAAGATTAGCACCATTCCCAGGATTATCCTAAACACCCACTGCCCCTAAAAGCTCTCACCCTCGTCAATCCGCATACCTCTCAAGTCCTATCCACTCACCCCCATGAACAGCCCTCCACTCTCTGCCCGCCTCTCTCTAGGTATAGGACAAAGCCCTCACTTCCCTGCCCTCCTCAATTCTACCACTGCTCTTTCTCTGAAAAGCCAGTGTGACTGAGAGCAGCTGACCTGACACATCAGAAGCCCCAAACCCTGCCCCTGCACCCAGTCACCAGCAAGGAAAGGACCAGAGTCCTTGTGGGAGATGTCCAACCCTCCTCTCTCATGGGCCCTCACATGACACTCCCACAGGACCCTCTACTTCCCCAGCCCCTCCTCGCCACTCAAATTCTCACCAGTCATCATTCTCCCCCACCACCATCCTGCTCCACACTGCTCACCAAGGCTTGAGGACCAGCCCTGCCCCGAATGAGGCTGTGTGCTCCTGAATCACAGATGAGGGCTCCTTCTCAACCCACTACCAGCTCCCAATCCTGGGCCACTGTTTGCCGTCACTTTGCTAAAACTGTCCGATTCTTTTTTTAAAGGGACAAAAAGACAATGAAGTGACACTTTCGGTATTTTAAAATGTTTGTAATTTCAAACCTAAAAACAATAACAACTTCTTAAAAGTTTCTTACAAAGAAGAGGAGAAAGGAAGTAGAAGGCAAAGCCCAAAGTGGAAAAGCTACCTCAGAAGGGTGCAGGGCTCCATAAAACCAGTATGATTAGAAATCTGTTGCTGAGAGAGCCAGGGCCTGCAATCCCCAGTGACAAATCAATGATTCTCTACATGGCGATGGGGTGTAGGGTACAGAGCCCTAGAGTCCACTCTCAACAGTGTCATTGAAGAAAGGAAATCTTTGCAGACCAAGACCGAAACCCTCCTCTTGCCGTCCACCTGCCTTTCTACTCATCACACTCACATGAATACATCCTAAGAGAGAAATATTCCCACAGAGGTTGGCAGGCTTCTCTCAGACAACTTTTATTCCCAGCCATGCTATTGCACCCTACCTCAAATTCTACTACAAGTCAGTCCCCTAGTGCTGCTCACCCTTTTGGCCCCCACACATTCTGGCCCACATCCAGATGATTCTAGATCTTGGGTTCACTCCTCATCCCCATCTGAGGCCCAGAGGAATGATAAAGAACATCAGGCCCTGACTTTGTGTTCTCCTTATTTGCTGTGTAAACTTAAGCAAGGCCCTTGTCCTCTCTGAGCCTCAGCTCTGCATCTGTATCTGTATCTGTGAAAAGGTTCTACTACACCTTCGGTCATGGCACTATCTAGCCCATGACTGCATCTGTTTGTCCCATATGGCTGATATTTAAATTAGTTACCAGCATTTACAAATTGAAATGGTCACGTGAAAATTCAGATTTCCAACTCCTCTTGAAAACTATTGAGTCTTGGCTACCCTGAGATGTCACACAGAAGGTAGGCTCTCAGTTTCCCTTGAAGCCTACATGGCCTCTCCACTCACTCACACGTGGCTGGGTATGTTTAAACTCAGAGTCTCCCCAGGCTCACCTCTGAACAGGAAAGCCCACGGTCATTCCCACTGTGGCCTCCAGCTGGGAGAACGGAGGTCTGGGCCCCCTGCATGCTGCTCAGAGCCCCTTGTGCTATCTGAAGGTTGTGTGCCCGTCCATGAGAGGGATGGGATGTGTCTGGAGGAGGGAGCCCAGCGGGGAAGGAGCCAGGCCCCTTAGGGTGACTTACCTGGAGAAGAGCACATTTCTACAGCTCTTCTAGATGGGTCGTGGTTCTATAGATGTGTATTGGTGGGAGTGGGATGGGGGAGAGGGCAGATCTCAGCTCTACATGGGAAAAGCTTTCTGCAGGTCAAGGACAGACCAGGCTGCAAAGTAGAGGGGTGAGCAACCTGTCCCTGGAAATTAGCGACCAGGACTGGGAAACATTAATACAAATGAGAAGTAGGAAGATACAATCACTACATTGCTGGTTCTCAGACTGGAATATGTCCCTCACAGGATCTCCAATTTCTATTTTCCCATGGCCCCCACAGCAAATGGCCCCTGAATGTCCAGCTTCTGCAGATGGGCCCCTAACCTCCAATCTAAAAAAAGCCAAAAGGGGAGGGGCTGAGAAAGAGGACCTGACCTCCCTGGAGAGGGGAGCCCTAGACTGGTCCCAAAGACCCTGTACCCAGGGTGTCTAATGCCTGAGAGCTGAGTCACAGGGGACCAGGGAGAGATAAAGCAAAAGCCCAAAGTATTTACCATACAACACTGAATGAAAAGCTGGATAATGCATGCACATCCATAATAATGAGATGATTATTCTTTAAGATGATGATTATTATAATGCCAGCTGACCTAAGTGACCACTGGAGCAGATACTCTAGACAGCAGCACATATGCAATTAAGTCCACATGAGCAGTATATGATGCCAAGTTCTCGTGCCCAGTGAGCTACCCAAAGACGTCTGCGCCAGGTCCACACGCCCACAGTGGTCATTGGGTACTTGTGTGGTGGTAGGTGGGCACAGCAGGGGTAGGCCACCATGCTGGTACATATCCCCAGATCCACTCCAGACCCTTCTCCACCCTGCTCTGCACCCAGGAGGCTGACCTCTTCAGACTGTGTCCACAGGTTTCCACATCTTCCAATGGCAGCCGCTGACAGGAGATCAGAGGATAGGAGAGAGATTGATGTTTTATTTTTCCCTCCTGGTAGGGGTTTGGTGGCTGTTCCCCTCCCCCACAGTCGTAGCTCCTGTTGGGTGACCCTGCTGAGTTCCAAGAGCTGCCTCTCCCCAACCCTGCAGGCTCAGGGCGCTAAGGGTCCCCACCCATTCACCACTGCTACTCCAAGAGCTGGCCCACTCCCTGTAAGTTCCCCCAACCCTGCCCACACCTCTGTTCTAGGTTTCTTCATTAATAATTCCTTCCATAAGCCCTATGAGGGGCCTCTTAGTTTCCTGCTGGGACCCTGAAAGACACATCCCCACGAGGACCCCACAGGATTCTATGCCAATGATTGCAGAGCACTAAATGGAAAAGGTAAAAAACAAAAACAAAAACAAAAAAAAAAACCACACACAGAACAAGATAGAGAGCCAAACACCAATTCATGTCAATTAAAAATGCACACACTCAAGGTAACAAAATACCACTTGTAAAACACAAGCAAAGAAAACATCCACACAGAACAGAATCGATGTCTGCCTGTAGTGAGGGAGCAGAGATAGGGGAATAAACCAGCCAATAAAATAAGAGCAGGACCATGCAGACACCAAGATAATAGTGTGTTATTAGTTAAGGAGTGTACTTAACTCTTAGCTTCTGAGGTCTAGCTGAAAAAACAAAAAGAATCCCATACTTAGGCCCCTTTCCAAGCAGGAACCCCATCAGACCAGACGGGGGAGGGGGAGGAGGAGCGGAGCCTTCCTGCACTCAGCGGAGGCAGGGCGGGACTACACCCAGCCAATCCAGAGCTCATACCTCTCCTCCCCAAACCCCCCCCCCAACCCCGGCCCCGGTGTGCTGCCATTGGCTGAGGGATGGGCCTACGACCACGCCTAACCAATGAGACTCAGAACTGTGACCACTCCCACCAGGGACCTGCAGAAGGCAAACTGAGCCCCTCCATGAAGCCTGGCAGCCTCGCCTGGGTGTCTAAGAGCACTGAGCCACCAGGGACACCCTCCCTCCCCCCGACCCTCTGCCTGAGAGACCACATGCTGGTCCACTACTCCAGGTCACAGTGCTGGATGTATACGTGAGCCTATGTGGGAGGCTCTCTCAGCAGGGAAGCAGGTGAATACCACCAATATCCCCAGTAAATGGCCAGATGGAGCTATAAAAAAAGGGGGGTGGGGTAGGTCTTGGCCTAACCTCACCTAATTCCTGGGCAAATTATATGACTATTACTGCTTTCAGCCTCCTAGTAGTCAGGGTAGTTGGTTAGCAGCAAAATGTAATCAGACCATTGGGATCTAAAGCCGCAATGAAAAGCAGAATCATTCAGAGGTAGAGCATTTCTATAGGA